CCCTTAAACAAGAAGGGAGTTAATCAACCCATAATACATTATAATCTACCTATCACCTTTACACCATCCCTCTTATATTTATTTTTATTTTACTTTTGTATTTTCGGGTTAACATTTTTTCGAACACAATTTTAAAAGTTTACACCGATCGTGTGAACTGCGTATCGCGTTCGGTGCATCAGGACTGCTAACGGTTGAACGCACATAGATACGACTACAGTCGGAAAACGTCGAGCTTCATCTTCGAGAAATCATTTCAAGTGTCAATAGAAAAACTTTTCAATATCACGATGCGCGGCACTGCTGTATAGGTATATGACACGCGTTCACAGGTCCCAGAAATGGATGTGTGTGCACGTACTCGTGTTTCTAGTTACGAACATGATGAGCATCCACGTGAATGATAATTTGTTTGCGGAGAACTTCGCACCACACGTCTGAGCACACAATCCATATATTTACTAGTAGAGCTGTGTGCAATTTGAAACTAATATGAGTTTATAATTCGTGCTCGTTATTTACGGAGAGGAATAAACATTGTATCCCAGAGTAGGAGAAAAGTATGTCGCATCGAAAAGTGTGCTGCACGAAATTATTTAAATACACCAATTTTGATCAGACCTTGATGGAAAACCATTGGAACCAATCATAACGGTTCTAAACTATTTTGCGCATATTATTTATCCTGTGCGATAAAAATAAAAACAATTGTATCATCAATTCAAGCACGAAAAATCTTGTACCCAACCGCTTTGATTTCGGAGCTGTGAACGTAAAATATTTAATTTTTTCGACCAGTGATCCTCAAAATTTTTCCATGGTGGTTAAGCGTTAGTTATTAGAAGTTTTGGCCCACTTATTAAAGTACACGTTTCACATTAAGTGTTGTACATCTAGAATTAGGATTTTAATACAATATGTGAAATAGTTTTGTTTCTTTTTTAGAAAAAAAAAATGTCTATTGTTTTTAATTATATAATTTTAATGGTTTTTAAAATAATAATTTCCAAGTTCTGGAAGCACACCCTTATGGGAAATACTATTTTAGACAGTTTAATTTGCATGAATGTATTCATGCGGTATTGTTGTGATGCATTTCTAATACTTTTACAAACACAAATACTCTCTCGTTCCAACAATACCTTGTTTGTTTTTCTTAATGGATAATGTACAATTTATATATTAACACAGTTTAAATTCAATACTTTAATTAAATATATGTTGATTATTGCCTGTTACTATAATCATACAGTATTTATGGGATCATATAAAATATTATAAAAATACATAATTTTACTAGTTTCAAAGTTATTTTTGTTTCTTTAACCTAATTAGAATATTTAGCCAGGTTTGTTATGAAGAAATTCCAGTTTTTATAACTATTATTTTAGGTTAGGGTCACATGACCGTTGGAAAAACGGATATAATTTTAACGGACGTAATATGCTCTGGTTAATCGAACGTCGAACGTGCGTTGAACATAAATATAAAATATTATAATTTCTATCATCGGTTGTTATAGTTTGTCATTTTTAACAACAACATTTGCAACACTCATCCATTCAATATTTTTTTTATTCCTATCCTTGTACAATTCATTACTTACATCCCAAAAAATGGGAAATTTTTCAATTTTGGTAATTAGTAACTATATTCATTTTAAAAATGTAAATATTATTTTTAAAATATGATTATTAAAAAATTATTAAATTATTAAAATATGATAGCTTAGCTTTCAACGACGACGAGAAAACAGCGGTCATGCGACTGGGTAAATAAAATCTAATAATATACTACGACGTCCAATAAGTGCTGTTGACGGACGTCGTAGCGTATAATAGATGTCAAAGACGTTGAACGGACGTTATAATGTCCATCGTAACGTCCGTTTTTCCAACGCTCTTGTGACCTTAGCCTTATACAGATCATAAAAACGGTATCAAAAACTTACTGTATTGTTTAGTAAATGTATTCTTTTCTACGGTTCCTTAATAATGAATAGTACACATTTTATGTTCTCTTTTTAGATGTGTCTATTTTATGTTAATTTGGAAGCATCAACTTCAAGTTATATTTAAATAAGGAACGAATCAGGTTTTTTTTTTTAAATCTTAAAATGTATTCTTCATAACCTAAAAAAATGATCCCATACAGCCATATTGAATCATCAGCCGTAAGAGAGAGAGAGAGAGAAAGAGAGAGAGAGAGAGAGAGAGAGGGCTTCTACGAGTTTCACTTATGTCTTCGGGCATACATCTCCAAACCCACGGTATAAAAAATTAAATTAAATTTAAAACGATTTGAGTTTTATACTGGACTTAGTATTTTTCGCACGATTTCTATACAAATAATTCGTATGTTTTCAGACACTTGGATAAATAAGGATTTGTATGCTTCTAACGGTAGTACGAAAGTAAGATGTTTAAGTTCCAACACTACATACAATTGCGATTACCTATCCAATTTTTTATAACTTTCGGTTTACACATGTATGTTTGTGTATGATAAATGGTTTATGATAAAAAATACTCAAGAGTACACAATATAGTACACATGCATCGAAATTTACATAGAGTTGTAATTTTTATTTCAACATGCTGAGGGCATGCATAACTCGTTTTATAAACACTTATAATTTGAATATAGTCTTGTTTATATGTGGGAATTTAGGAGTATATAACTAATAATATCGAATTTTGATGTTATTACAACGATGTTCGACCTACCGAGATTAGGAGTTATAAAAATGCATTTTTGAGTTAAAACTAAAATAAGTACGCATAAATGAGTTGAACGTATTATAAAATTTAATAAATTGATAGAACCGATATCAAAGTCGACTATGATTTACGACGTATACGAACAATACGTCAAATGTGTTTTCTATGGATTTTGATTTTATATTCAAAAGATATCAATATAAAAGAATATAGACATAAATAAAATAACATAAATTAAACACAAGTGCACATAGTGATGGTCGCGGTATGGTGTTTACTTTTGTAAAGCGAAATTTACTGACAGATTTGTAAGTCATCGAAGTACGATAGGTATTACGTTGAGTTATTTCAGTTGAAATATATATTTTATAGAGACACATCATGCTAACAAAGTATGTGTGTTATTAATAATAATAGTGTGGTTCTTAAAATTGAAGATCAATATTTAAACTGCGCCACTTTCTAATTTGAAACTAAACCATAAAAAAATAATATCTGTGTAATTTTATAACGATAGTACAACCCTAAGACGTGCCTCAAGAAGGTTGAAATTTCTTTTAAGAGGCCGTATTTTGTTCTTTTCATATACCTCAACAATTTTTGTAATTAATAAAAAATGTGTACATCATATTATTTGCAGACAATGAATTTATTTAAAAAATACATATCTTGGAGAAAAATTGTAGAACTTAGAAGTATACTTTAGAAGTATATTATTTAAATTAGAACTTATAATCTAAAATTTTAAATTGTATTAAATTATCAAATTTGTTTTGAAAGTGTACTTCGTTTCGCGCCAGGATACTTAAGCCGGTAGTCGTAAACTGTATGCATGAAAAATTGTTTTTGTTCCTCGTCTTTAGTAATTTTGTTATTGAAATCAGTTATTGATTTCACACCCCTCTCAGCTGCATCACTTAAAACTTTAACTTGACTAAGTACAGGTATACCTTTTTGATAGTTGACATTTTTGTATTATTTTTCTGGGTTTTGGTTAAGGAAATCTGTAGCAATGTTAAGCCTTTCAAAAAATGTTATCGATGAACTGTTGATAAAATCAGAAATTTGTGAAATTTTTAGCAATATTAAATTATTTATCGGGTAACATAATGTTTAATAATATTTTCATTTTCATCTTGAATTTTAAGTGAATATACCATTTTTATTTTCATTAGCAAAGGAATATTTGAATCAAAAAATGAAAATGCCATTGCTTCAGGATTTAGATACCACAAATGACTACAAAATTTTTTCAATGCAATATTAGATATTTTTTTATTAATATTTTCATAATTAATCAGACTCTGAATGAATAAAATATCTTGGTACGGGGCTTCAATTGCAACATGTGAACGAAACCATTTTTCAATATAAATGGATATAATAAAAATATAAGTATCATGACACGCGTTTTCTTGTGTTTTGGTCATATGAAATTGTTTTCTAAAAATATATATTTTCAAGCAATATATTACTTTAGACATCCATCGAGTGTGATAAAATGCTCCAGGAACTCGAAATAATATTCCGCGATGTGGAATTCCACCAAGAAAAATTATAGACAGTTCTAACAGCTCTCTGTAATCCTCTTTAAACTGTTTTTCTTTAGAATGAGTTAAAGCAAAACCAAATACACGTTTTTGGAAATTATGGCATATATTAGGCTTACATCATCATTTTCTATTCCTGGATTAAATATTACAGTATCTATTTTACTCAAGTTTTCATGAAATTTTTTAAAAAGTTGTATGTTGGGCCCAAAGGTGGAACCAAATTTCTCTTCAAAAACACTTCTTAAAACAAGTTCATAAAATTTATGAACTTCTTTTAAGAAGTTAACGAACTAACTAACTAACCACTAACTTTCTTTGTTGACATCATATTTAGTATGATGTTGACAAAGAAAGTACAACAAATATTTTTCAAGACGTTGTTCTAATAATACGCATGCGCCTTTTAATCTACCAGTATTTGAAGCTGTAGTGTCACAGCAAACAGCTATAACTGAATTATTAAGACCCCATTATTCAATTAATTGATACACGTTTATAGGCTGTTCTTCTCCTGTTACTACTAACAACTTAGAGACACCGAGTAGTTCATGGTTTCCACTTGAAATAATTACTGGTAATCGATCTACAAGATTTTTTGAAGTTAACGAAGAAAGTAATTTTCCATCCAAGTATATGACTGAACTATTATCAAATTAATTTGAAACTCTTGATGAAGATTTACAACCGGTTCTTTACGTACTTTTGAATGTTCTCTATGTATTGACGAACGATTAATGACTAAACTATCGACATTTTAACCTAACGCTTTAGCTGTTGCCATAAGTAGATAAGTTACGTCTCTATCACTAACCTTACATCTATCCAATACAGCTACGAGTTTTTTAGTGAGAAATTGTGTTAAAGCTCGTTTTCTAATAGAAGGACCGGTTTCAGTAGGTTCATATAATGTTTCATCGTCGGTATCACTTTCTGTTGATGATATAAACTCGACCGTTTCATCTGAAATCATTGTACGTAAACATTTAGTATAATTAAAAAAAAATAATAAATTACTAAATACTTACACAATACTTTTATTTCATCATGAGCACGTTTTCTCCTTTTTTCTGATTCTTGAAGGCGTATATACTTTTTTTGTTCACTTTTGTTTGAAGTAAGATCAATTCCAATTAATATACCTGGACGACCTTTTTGCCGTTGACAATTTAAAAATCGTTTATCTATTTCGTTACTCATTATATTCGTAGCATCAAAGTGTGCTATGTCAAAAAGGTCCTAGAACTTATCAATAAAGATATTTTCTTTTTTTATTTGTGTATCAATTCGCCTGGATGCATTTCTTTGCAAATTTCGCCATTCGTTGTACATCGCTTCTAATTTTGGTATACAATGACGTACTTCTCTGTTCGGAATACGAGCTTTTTGCCAAAATATTATAACCTCTTCTATGACTAATCGAGCACTATCTCGTAGACTCAATTTGACTACACGCATATTATGAAATAAAACCTTTAGAACTTGTTTATTTTAAGGTAATTTACAACCAAAAAGCTGATGTGTAGTATGTTTAATTAAATAAATCTCTTCACACAAATTAATTTTGTCCGTCATATTATTACAACACTTTAATATTAATTAAAAAAAAAAAAAAAACGGAAAATATATAAATGAATACCTACATTCAACTAACATAAAAACAATAAAAATGAACAAAATAACACAATAGCGATATCGTGATCAACGACCGACGTAACAACTAAATACATACAATCATAAACAAGCTTTATCGCTATAACGTGTTATTTAATAATGTGTGGAAGAGAAAACGCTAATAGTTAATTGAAAAATCCCAATGATAATTTTATTTTGTTATAAATTTATAATACAGTGGAACACCAAAGGTAATCTACTACACCTATATACCTACCTATTTAATTACTTAATTAGTTACTTAATTTACTTAATTTGATTAGATAGTAAAACCACGATGGCTTAATACCTAGAAAATAATAGGTAATAATAATAATAATAACATAAGAGCAAAATATTTGTTAGAGGCATTTTTTAATAACTTGCAATAATTATTGTGATATGAAGAACTTACAAAAATCTACCCTGCTGAGTGAAATTTCAACCCTCTTGAGGCAAATTTTAGAGTTTAAGTAATTAAATCAAATTTTCAATTTATTATTATTTTATACAATCAAACAAAATTTTAAGGTGGTACATTCAAAATCTGTAAAAAATAATTTTATCTATAAATAAGGACCACACATTGTGTAAGTACGTGTATGTGAAGAGTGAATAAAAGAAATAGTTATAGAAAACAACCAGCCCAGTGCAAACAGTACAATCCTTATTTAATTTGTGTACCGCATGAACATTCTTTAAGTAAAAAAAATAAAAATAAAATATATATATATATAACATTTATTTAATAGAAAAAATATGCATTCTTGTATATTGTGTTGTTCAAAAAATTACTACTTACCTAGATTGATATGACATTCGTGTTTTAGTTATTTAAAATTTAGAATAAATAAATCGAGTTCTCTGTCAACGAAATAACTGTTGAATAATAATGAACTAGAATAAAAATTAACTAATAGTTCTACATTTATATAGCATTCGGTATAGATGGGAACGTACAATCTTTTTGTGTCATTGACCATATAATATTCAATATTTTTCCGTATGTCTTTTTATTCTGTATTTAAGTAGTTCAAAGATTGATTAGTGTGTGAATTTTGATCAATAGTGTATCATTGTGTGTACTATTAACTTAATGTCTGTTTACGTGAATTTGATTCAGATACGTGTTCACGCGATCAAGCTTTTTTTAGTTTACGTATATTAACAATACGTGATTTATTTTGTTTCATTCACGTAAACACATATGTTTATATTCAAATATAAAAATGAGACCCCTATTATTACGTATCATCCTGTAGGTACACGATTTATTTCTTTTAATTTCATACAAGGGTGGTAAGTTCTATAAGATTATAGATTAAATTTTTAATTTTCAATTTTTTTCTATTCTTGAGTAAAATAGATTCTCGGAACAGTCCTTTTCCCGTCACTGTGGAATATTATAATCGGAAAGTGGTTTTGCTTGAGGGCTGGACTACAGTTCAGAGAGAAGAAACTGCCAACCCTCGCTTCTTAATCAAATGATCTAAAACAATACGAGTTAACCCATTAGGGTACTATACCCTTATTACACAAATCACAGAGGTCTAATGGTCCTGTTGCCTGATTTCGTCAAAACCTCATAAAAATAAAGTAAAAAAAAAAAAAAAAATAATCAAAACTGAGACTTTATTTTTAATACGTAACAAATATCTTTTGAATCCATAAAATACTTTAATTTGGCTTTTATAAATCTTATGATATACACGTGTATATTTTTATAAACAATTATTCATTAAAAATTATTTTTTTCTTATTTAAAGGAAACGATACTATACCTACTGTGCAATATTATATTGATTTTATATGTATGTAATATTTCACTGCAATACGTACTAAATTTGTTATTTAAATATATCATACATATTATTGCGATTGCTAATGCTTGTATTTGCTGACATTCAAATATCATTAAATATCTCAACGATATTATAAAATCGTATTTATTCAATGTTACGAACAAATATTTTTTTAAATGTGGCAATGTAACATAATTGTAACCCATTAGAAAAATTATATTGCGATATTTTACTCCTATATTACATACAAGTTAAAGCTTAATATCTATATGATACTGTACAATGCCATATTCCGTTGATATTTCAACAATGTTTAATGGGAAAACCATTATTATGAATGCATTAGTACATCATTTGGCATACAATTGGTAAATCACACATTTCACGAAAGATATGAATCGATAGATCACAACACGCTGTAACAAAATACTTTTGTTGTAAATATGAATGACGAAATATTAAATTTTATTTTATTTTATTTATTTAATATAATTTAAATATTTTTCAATATTATTTATTATTTTTGGTTTTTTTAATAAAACCAATATTGTGAATTATGTTTTTTTTAAACATTATCAATATATAATTTATTATACAAGGATAATTTATAGCATGGATTACTTAATATATTGTTACTTTTCCGATGCGATTAAATCGTTCATAATGTTTAAACGATGGCTTCAATTAATGAAAAAGATTGGCGATACTGTGAATTTTGTACTTAAAAATTATATAATTTGTGTAGCTATTTATGTTTAAGTTTCATGTTCACCCTTTTAAACTATCAATATTGAAACTTATAAAAGCCAATAAAAAATCATCAGCCACGGCTTATAAAATCATTCATAATAGTAGATTATCGTAAACAATGTGGACAACTTTATTACACGCGTTATCGTACAGTAAACTGTAGCGGAAGATGAGCATATAAATGTTTTTAAAACGGATTAAGATCATAAAACCGATTTGGTAGTAAAACTATCGATTTGATAATGTGATACGTATTTCGCAACGCACCACAGAAATACAAAATTAACGTTAACGAATTTATAGTTTTAAGACATTACTTGGTGAACAATTTCAACGTATAAATCTAATGGAGAATTGTTTACAAATTAATTTTTGTTCCTCGTGATAGAACAACGGAAAAACCATTTTAACGCACTTCAAAGCGTTCGTAGAGGACACCCGAACGGTCGATGGCATAATAAATAATAATTTATAACTAGTCCTTTATAATTATATGTATAAAATAAAAACATAAAAACCTTTAAATATACATTTTATTTGCATGGTTTATTTTTTAGCATTGAAATATTTTTTATATTTAAGCAACAAGGTCTTTTCAAATTTTTTTAATTTTATTGATAATTTTTAAATCAACTGTGAAAAGCTAAGTTATTTCAACTGCCAATTTAACTAATTAAGTAAAAAAGTTCATTAGAAAATAAACTAACTAGATAAGTTAAACAAAAATTTCCCTTTTAACTTTAACTTTTTAACTAGTTAATGTCCACCTTTCAGCACGGGTACGCCGAATAACGGGTCCAAGTGGATTTCTCGTACGATGATCAGGTGGTGTTATCGCACTCGGTGCCAAATAAAAACACGAAACGCACCCTTCTAACCCTAAATTACCGTAAAAGCCATGGCGTCGTATTTTATCGGTGTATTAGCGTGATATTGTGTTACCAATGTTGCGGATATTATAATACGTGTTTTCATGATATATTGCGTGTCACGCTGAAAATCGTTTTTATTACGATTATTTTTCGAACGCCTTATTAACCACGATCTTACGATGTTTATTGTATCGGTCCACCACAGTGCGTGCAAAAACATCACGGGTCGTACAAAATGAGTGCACATCGAATTTCAACGTTTTAAAATTTTAAACACGACGAAAACTTTTACGTTTTTGAGGTTTTAATATTTTCCTGCTCTCGAACTACATACGTTCCGTCTGTTGATACTAACTGACTATATCATCACGTTTAATAATCATTTATTTATTACCATAAAGTATGTATCTATGTACGAACATTTCTTGTTAAACGCGAAATCGTGAAAACAACGTTTCGTATTTCGGCACACTGACAAATATCGGTTTAATCATTTGATTTTAAATCGGTATTTAGCTGTGGTTCAACTTGCAATAAATAAGCTATAACAATATTCAAAAATATAACACGTTCTGTGTTGGATTATTCATGATGCGTAATACATTAAAACCTAATCTTCGAAACTTAACTTCGCATTGTATTCGTTTTTAACTCCATTCGCACAGCATTAAATCAAAAATATAAATCGTTCAAAGTTAAAAGTTTTTCGAACTATTTAAAACAGTCTCGTTAAGAGCTATCGATTAATCATACACAACGTCCATGGAATTTAACCAACCGTATTATACTGTCGTTAAAACTTTTTTACGCTACACAAGAGTGAAATACAATTATATATGTAGTCGAGAACCACCGCGGTCATTAGGCATTAAAATGCAAGTGGTATTATGCTTTTCTGCCCTGGGGAACGAGCTCGGCGTGCAGTCGAAGAAATCCCTGAGAAACTCGGACACTTAAGATCGTTTACCGGTGTCTGGTCCCTGTTAGCAACTCTTAGGAATTGAAGGTAGCGGTTAATCAACGTACTCGTAATGTATAACAGCTCGTTCGAAACAAATATGACGCGACGAATGGTGGCATTTAAAATTCCCTCGTTTCGAGTGCGGGACAGCGGTCGGTAGTGTAAATGTATCATCTGAAAATCGTTTTCGAACCGTGTCCGGTATACGCATAAATAAAGCGTTTACGTTTAGGAAATCGTGAGACGGTCACGGTACGCGTGCACTTGCAGTTTTAAAAGTTCAACATTTCGCATACCACGTGTTGCTGTGTCGTCCTCTCCGCAACCAAGTTCTACAAGTCTCGATCGGCATATCGATTACGCCGTGACAGTTACGTCGAATCGGAAAATTTACGCGCAGTGTTCGCGTCTCACGTGTGCTACGTTACAGTAGCGGCTCGTAGTAAATATGCTGGGGAG